GGGAGTGAGAGGAGACACATGGTTTTAGGGACTTGACGAGCTGTTGGAGTGTGAGCAGAGTAACATTTTGTGAGGGGATTCAGGGAAACTGGTTAGCGGGACTTGAGTCCTGGAGGTGGGAAGTACAATGCCTGTACTTTAAGAGGGATTTGGGATATTGGGTGTTTAAGAGTGACATCTGAACTGTTGTATCCATGCGCCTCTGTCAAGACAGTGATAGTGTGAATGATGGTGAAAGATTCTTTTTTTTTTTTTTGGGTCACCCTGCCTAGGTGGGAGATGGCCAGCATATTAAAAAAAAATACTAATTACACTGAAAATATTTCTGATATGTGTGGTCAGGATATAGGATAAATTGTTTGGACATAAGTATTATCAAAGGCAAAAATTAAACTGATAACAATTTATGTTGCTTTAAGGTTTTGGTCATGTAGTTTGATACAAAGAATTCTTTATATTGTGATTTTTTTGGGGTTAGAACATTTTTATTTAAAGTCAGTGTCCTGTTTAGGTTTTTTTTTTTTTTTTTTAACAAGTCAGCCGTCTCCCACCGAGGCAGGGTAACCCAAAAAGAAAATACTTTCATCATCATTCAACACTTTCACCTCACTCACACATAATCACTGTTTTTGCAGAGGTGCTCAGAGCACAACAGTTTGGAAGCATATACCTATAAAGATACACAATATATCCCTCCAAACTGCCAATATCCCGAACCCCTCCTTTAGAGTGCAGACATTGTACTTCTCATTTCCAGGACTCAAGTCCGGCTATATAAAAATAACTGGTTTCCCTGAATCCCTTCACCATTATTTCTTCTATAGTACCCAATCACATTATCATTTTTTGTGGGACTCAAGCACAGTGCCTTTTTATGGTAAGCATACTATTAGTTAAATTCTCATTGTATTATTACCTGCTCAAAACAATATGACTAAAATTTCAAATGTTATGAACAGAAGTCATTTTGTTAAATCTTTACTTCAGGTTGTGGTGCCCCTTGAATGTGTTGCCGTGAAGGACACAGTAATTGGAGCTGAACAGGCACCAGAAGTGCTATTCCATGAATGGAAGGGGAGGTGGGGTGCCTTGGTGCTAGTGAATGGCTCTTGATTCAAGGTATTGGAGCTAGTCTCCCCTCCTTAAATTAACCCATTACTTAACATTCCCCAATCACTGCATGACCCCTATGGGTTTAGTGCTTCCCCATTATAATTTATAGCGAGACAGGTTAGTAAATTATTTATTCAAAATGACGAACACCCAAGGATAATGAATTCAGAATAATAATCATACTATATTTTGATTGCATATACAAATTTATATTTAAAAATACAGGCTTTATACATTTATTTTTTTTTTCTGAGAATTTGTCTTCAGCATATGACACTGGTCCCATCATAGGTAAGAATGAAAAGATTGACAGCAGCAAGCAACTATGTCTAAACAAACAAGACAACAAAAGAAACTGTGTGCACAAACTGTATAACATATGGGACATGAGGTTACAAACCTCTTAAGATATTCAGAGACCTTAGCAAAGAATCTTTTAGTACTGCACTCTGTAAATACAAGACAGGACCCCAATGGAAATGAGTCACTTTGTTTGAATTGTTTGGGTTATTCTAGGTAATTTACACTATGTATGATAATTGTACTTATGTGTACCTGTGCCTAAAACAACTTACTTATCAGAGTATGTGGTACTAGCATAGAGTCCACAATCAGTCAGGACAGAGTGGACACCTTGAGTGATCAATGTTCTGTGCAATGATCTGTAAAGGTGTGCCTGCCTTATAACCCAAACTCAATGTGTGATGAATTGCAGGGGTGTTCTGGCAACTTGATAGCTGTGCTAACAAGGCTAAAGGCTTTAGCCTTTAGCCTTGTTAGCCTTAGCCTATCAAGGACTGCTTTTGGCATTCAGCTCATAGCATGGGCCTGACTCAAGCACTGCTGAGAATATTAGTTAATATTCTGATGACTTAATTTTACTGCAGTGTGACTTTTGACTTTGTATGCAAGCTGTTCATTAAACAAATAAGAAAATTTACACTAATTGCAAAATGTAACAATTATATTAAGAGACATTGTACTGTCAGAACTCATAATTTAAATTTCAGATATTTTAGTTCTATATGTTTATGAAGTGCTATATTATCTTAATTCAACAGTCATGATATTCCCTCATCAACATGTAATCCCCTCAAGGGAGATTCCTGAAAAGGCTCTTAATTAAAGGAATCAGAAATGTCCATCCCCTTCCTAGACTCAAACTGTTGCTTCACATTCCCCAGACACTGTATGACTCCCTACAAGTTTTATGCTTTCCCCTAAATACACTGATAATGCCAACACTAGTTAACATACTAAGGACCACAGAATAATTAACAGCACAAGATAAAAAATTTCCTATGCAGTTTGGTAGATAATTTTATCAGTGATACCTGTTCACTTTTAAAAAAATTATAATGGAAGGAGTGATAGTGAATTTTTTCTTGTACAGGTCAAACTGTCTTGATGAGAAATGATGTAAAAAAAATTGGAAAAGTGTTATGCATAACGTTTTTCACTCCCTCATCAACCCTTGTGGGTCTAGCAATTGGTTTTGATGATAATAAGAATAGTAATAATAACAATAATAATACAGGTCGGCCATCACTAATCCGGCAATCAGTTATCCAGTTCCATCAATAATCCGGCACTAATTTCGGGTAGCATAATTTCAAATTTCATCATCATACTGACTCATGTCATTATACTGTCTCAAATTTCATCCATATACTGACTCAAAAATTGTTCAGATGGTTGTAAATCCAAAGCAGCAAGCCAGTGGATGGAAAAGCAGTGATGTAAATGAGGAAAATGTAGCAGAAAGAGTCTCTGTTGATAGGTTAATTAAGTGTAGTCTAACCTAACCACTCTGTAATCCGGCAAACACACTAATCTGGCACACTACAGGTCCCAGTGATGCCAGATTAGTGATGGCCGACCTGTAATAATAATACTCCCTCATCAATAATTGTCTTTTTGAGAGTGAAAGATTAGTTGCAGTTATTTACTACAATATTCAATGGCATTTTGGAACTTTATAATCAGGACTCTTTCTCAGATGAAGACAATATTATAGTTAATAAGTAAGATAATTCTGAAACAAGTAAAAGCTCTTAAAAATGCATTGACGATCTAAAGAAATTGAGCTAAATTAACCCCTCAGAGCAAGTTCTTTGCAGTGAGAAGTTTTTGGACCTGATCTCCCTTTCCTTAGATCAAACCTGATTGCCTCCCATTCCCCAGATGCTGTATGACCCAATCAGCTTAGCACTCCCCAATACTAATTTTACTAAAATAAAATGACAATGAGTGAGCAATAATTACATCTTCAAGAAAAGATAACATTATGTATATGTCTTACAATGACTTGCACTTAGTGTTCCAACAAAGGTATACAGGATACTTCTCGAACTTCATTATATACAAACTGTACAACTCAGAATATACAGACAAAAGCTCCACATAGCTCAGTATGAACCTGAATATTAAAACAAACCATATACCATATTTTGCAGCTTATTAGATACATTTTTTCCATAAAATATCTCCAAAACCACCCTGCATCCTATAAACTGAAGGTAAGTGACGGGAGCTATAAGTTTGGAGTGTGGGGTGGGCTGTAGTTCTCCCAGTTATGTCCAATGTCGAGCCTTTGAAACTAAAACAAGTCTTATAAGCCAAGAAATACGTATGTATGACCTACAGAATTTAGTTCTCACATTCTGCACAGAAAATATATGCAGTAATGTATATTTTATATACACATATACAAACAGGTAATGGACCTCTTATCCAGAAAGCTCAGGACCAGGAGAGGTGCTGTATAATCCATACAGGTTTAGTGCTCCCCATGATAATCCATTTAATCATGATCAAGAGATAAACAAACTAAATTTTCTGGATTATGTTTGAGTTTAGTGCTTAGTTATAATTATAATGATAATCTGGATTTTGTGTTAATGTAAGAAGTAAAGAAAGATCATTCTATAAATGCATTGGTAACTCTACTCTCTCCTTAATACTGATTATTATTTAATCAGAATGAAGCGATAAGCCTACAAGGGATATACATCACTTTCTTAATACTGAGTAACAAATATTTTCTCTTCCCACACCTGCCACCTATGGCTTTCTTGACAGTTTGAGAAAATTATAGCTCAAAAACTAGAATTACAGACCCAAATTACCTGAATTTAATTAAGGATGCTGGATTAGGGGTCCCACACTAACTAACCCACAAAGTGGGTCAGTTACTGTAGGACATAATGCAAGACTTTTGTCTTGCATTATGTTCAGACATTATTACGTATATGGTACAGAAGAAATCACTGTAAAATATAACAACAAATACAAAAAATACCACAGTACAATAAAATTACCTAACAGAATAGGAGAGCCTCATTTTTTTGTGCATAATACACACAAAAGTGCTATGGTGTGTCTTATTTTTTCACTGATATTTTTTCATCGTACTGTATGTTTCTTTTAATTAATGTATCTGGAGAGTAATCTAAAGCTTTTGCATTTCAAATCTGAGTACTCAGATCAAGGACAGCATATCTTGATAGTACCGTATTGAAATAAATATATTAATACACTATAAAACATTAAAAAATTATAGGATTAGATATGCAGTACAATACTGTACAGAAAACTGCACGTTTTTTCATGAACATTCTTGTACATATCAAAAATAACTTTTACATAATAAAGTTATACATTTGGCAACTACTGTATAATGATTAATAAAATTCATAATTTTCTGTTACATATGCAGTATAAACAATCAGAGAGATCATATATACGAGGTACTATCAAAAAGTTCCTAAGCTGCTGTGAAAAAAATTTGTCTCACCTAATCCCCTAGTTGAAGTTGTCTCCCTGGAAGTACTCTCCTTGGGAGGCTATACACTGATCCCAGTGCCTCTTCCAAGTCTTGAAACATTTCTGGAACTCTTCTTTCCTAATGGTGTGTATCACAGCCTGCAAGTTTGCTTGAATCTCCCCCACATTTTAAAAATGCCACCCCTTGAATGTTATTTTTATTTCTGAAAAAGAAAGAAATCACAGGGAGCTAGATCTTAGGAGCAGGGAAGGTGAGAGTATGACTGCTATGTTTTTTTGACCAGAAAAATGAGGGTCTGTCTGGTTTTGAGTCGTGCTGGCAAGTGGATCACAAGTTTCACAGCTACTCGCCTTATATTCAAACTATCAGTAAAAATGCTTTGACATGACCCTATAAGAAATTCCCAAAGTACTTACAGTGTCCTGGATACTCTGACAATGATCTTTTTGAATAGACTTCCTCACTTTTTCAGTGTTGGCATCTGTTTTTGACAATGGATGATCAGAGGGTTCATCCTTAACTGATGTTCGTCCATTGAATTGAGAAAAAACCATTCGATACACTGTATCCAACACATTGCGTCATTGCCAAATACTTGCTGAAGTATTTTTTGAGTTTCACTAGCTGTTTTACTGAGCTTGAAACAGGATTTCACACGTACATACACTCCTTTCTTTTAAGATTCTATTCTGTTACACCAAAAATTGTAATAATGCACTAACAGCATGACACAAAATGCTATCTAGCCTCAATCGAATGACTGCCCGCACTGAAACTTGTCATGCTGCTTCACAAAGGAATGTACTGCATTGAGTAATCTATGCTGCCACCATATTTTGCCCAGGAAGCACTCAGAAATTCGAGTATGGGAACTTTTTGATAGCACCTCATATAGTATATATAATAACAGTACGTATTAACACTTAACATAACCGTCAAGGGAAGTTTCTTGATGCTGGTGAAGGAAGCTTGATATAAGGAATGAGACCTATATTCAAATTCTTGAATCAAGTCTAAATGCCTTCTATTTCCCCAGCCAGCTTATGACTTGACAGGTTTAGCTCTCCCCCCATAATGTAATAACATTTAACATTAAAACTACCAGTAGACTTTTGAATAATCTCAGTGTAACTAAACATGAGTAAAGAAAATCTTTATCTTTTGAGATATATTCACCTGAAACGCATACCAAAGTAAAACATAACTTCTGAAAATTTTGCCCACATAAGTTCAAATCTCTCAAAGAGGCTGAAATAGTGTACAGTATTAAATAAACATTTTGAATTACACATGTGTAAACTAAGGAATCATGACTTATAATTCAGTGTGTGTAAATACATAACATTCATCAGAGGAGTTAACCTTTATTGTTAATTCATGAAGACTTAGATTATAATTAATTGAAATACCAGAATTAGATGAGTATGGGAAAATACTTATATCAGATTGTTGCCTTTGGGAGTAATGTGAGTAAATTGAAAACACCAGGTATCTGGAGACTAGCTTGGAACTGGAGCATATTTAGCCAGTGTGTCAACACTGAAATTCTCTTCCCGTTTATAACAAAATAATTATCTGGTGCCACTAATGAAGTGAAAAGGGGCTCTGGTGGCTAAACCTCTCGCTTCACACGGCAAGGGTCTAGGTTTGATTCCCAGCCAGGGTAGAAACATTGGGCATGTTTCTTTGCACCTGTTGTCTATGTTTGCCCATCAGTAAAATGGGTACCTGGGTGTTAGTCAACTGGTGTGGGTCACATCCTGGTACACTGAACTAATTTGCCCGAAATGCCCAGCATAACGAGGCTTTCTATATGTAGTAGTGTGTCAATGATGTCAGCTAGGCCTGTATACCATGTACATGTACTTGTAGTAAATAAAGATATTATATTATATTATATTATTATAAAGGCAACCTAGGAACTATTTAATTGAAGAATAGGCTCATCTATAAGTGTCAGATTTGTGTCATGAAGAACTGTTGATATAAAATTTTGTAGTGGCCATGCAATATACTGTAATCTATATGAATATTGTCATTTCATAAAGGTTGATCAGCATCCTCCTGGCTTGGTATGTAGCAGTAATTCCAGAAAGGCTACTCTCTTCTACTTCTAAATTTTTGAATCCCCAGGTTTGCAAGGTTGGCAGAAGAATATTAAAAGATAGAATTTTTCACTGAAGATGGAAATTCAAAATTTTCTAGGGCAGCCTGAAGTACTCCGAGAGCTCTGGGAAATCAACAAGCCAATATAAGATTAAAAGAGAAGAATAGTGTTGCTCAACACAATTTAATGTGAAGCAGCAAGTCAACAGGCTAGTGGATTGGGGACCACAGTTATACCTGCAGTATAAAACCAGTGTGTCAACACCTTGGAGGCTATCCTTCCCAACCCAACAAAGCAACTATCTGGCACCATTTCTGGACCATGTACAAGCAACCTGGGAGCTATTCAGATGAAGAAATAGGTCCATCTCACATTGCCAGAATCCATTCTGTGAAGAGTCCATGTTTATGATTTAGCTTTTAGGGTTAATATTCTATGATTAACTTAGTAATTTACCTGGAGTGTGATCAGCCCTATTACAAGTGAGGTGAAAACCCCAAATAGGCAAGAATATAGTCCTTGCTTAAAATCTGAATGATTATATACTATACTATATTTGACTCTGTACACCTGATCAACAGGCAACATGTCTTATGACAGTACATGGCACAGTATGATATCTATCGTGGATACAAACTCTGTGGTACATCGAGTTTTTCCTTGCCAAGGGCATGGGAGGCTGTCCTGGCAAACTCGATATTCATTCTATGTTAGAATACCTGATATTCTACTAACAACAGATTACAAATTGCAAATCTGTAAACACTTGGTTACAATGTATTTTTAAGTGTTCATAAATGCAACAAAACCTGTAGATATTTTGGTCTGTATACTCAATCGGATTATACAACTAGTTGTTGGTTTATCCATCAGGAAAAATGCCCTGACAAAGATGTCACAAGATGACACACTGACTAGTGCCAGAACTATGGCAGGAGAATGGCAAAACAGCTATGTCTGAGGACACAGATGAAGGTGGAGTGGCTGAGGGTCCTTCACTAGGCCCCGGCAACAGTCAATGCTGGTTTAGCAATGCTGACTAACATGTGTAGTAACATATAAAGTAGTGATATGTAAGAATACAGCATATTTCTCTACATGCAAATAATAAATTCCATAATTTTTTTTTTTCAAATTATCACTTTAAAGATTTAACTGAATATTTTAATAGTTCCAGGTACTATTCTTTTAATACAAGAGTGAATTTTTATAAAATAAATGCTTCTGTTGTACTGTCATTGCCAAAGATTTGTTAGGGTTTAGTACTTAGTTATGATTATAATAATAATAATACAGTGGACCCCCGCTTAACGATCACCTCCCAATGCGACCAATTATGTAAGTGTATTTATGTAAGTGCGCTTGTACGTGTATGTTTGGGGGTCTGAAATGGACTAATCTACTTCACAATATTCCTTATGGGAACAAATTCGGTCAGTATTGGCACCTGAACATACTTCTGGAATGAAAAAATATCGTTAACCGGGGGTCCACTGTACTAAGAAACCCGTTGATTTCTGAGATCTCCCTAGACAGTGTTCTAACCCAGCCCGTCAGTGACCTTAACCTGATTGATTCATCTGAACATCAATGACCCTACACTATTAAATTTTTGTAACAGATCATCCTTCATTTTACTAGCAAAGAAAATTTCGTCCACAACACTAATAAAAAGTTTTATGATTCTTTAATTTACTATTCTTCCAGTGCACAATATCTGAAAGAAAAACATATAGGCCTAGGAGGATCATTTAATAGTCATTTTAGATTTGTTACACAAATAACCCACACTTAAAAGACCAAAATTTATACAACATTTCGGTCTGACTTGGACCACTAATCAAAAGTCACAGTATTGTGCCTTTTTATTCTGTAGATTTGTTGCTCTTTAAACTGAAAAATTCTGTCAACTTGGTACAGTATTTCAGGTTTGTATATAAATGTTAATGAATCTGTAGTGCCTAACTGATAGGATAATTAATTCTTATCCTTAGTTTCTGTCAGCACAAAAAACTTGAATGAATAATGGTGAATGTATTTTCTTTATTTGAGTTGACCTGGCATGGTAAACGTAATTCTTGAAAATAATAGCTAGTATTTTTCCCACAGAAGATATGTAAAGAAAGTCACTATCACACATCACTGATTTTTGTGTTTAACACATTGGCTGTTTCCCACTGAGGCAGGGTGACCCAAAAAGAAAGAAAAAAACTTTTATCATCATTCAACACTTTCACCATCACTCATACATAATCACTGTCTGCAGAGGCACTCAGATACAACAGCTTAGATATCCCTCTAAACTGCCAGTATCCTAAACCCCTCCTTTAAAGTGCAGGCATTGTACTTCCTATTTCCAGGACTCAAGTCTGGCTAACCAGTTTCCTCGAATCCCTTCACAAAATATTACCCTGCTCACACTCCAACAGCTTGTCAGGTCCCAAAAACCATTCGTCTCCATTCACTCCTATCTAACACACTCACTCACGCTTGCTGGAAGTCCAAGCCTCTCACCTACAAAACTTCCTTACCCCCTCCCTCCTCTTCGGAGACGACCCCTACTCCGCCTTCCTTTCCCAATAGATTTATACCCTCCCCAAGTCTTTCTACTTTGTTCCATTCTCTCTAAATGACAAAACCACCTCAACAGCCCCTTTTCAGCCCTCTGACTAATACTTTTAGTAACTCCATACCTAATCCTAATTTCCACACTATGAATTCTCCTCATAATATTTGCACCACACATTGCCCTTAGACACATCTCCACTGCCTCCAGCTGCCTCCTCGCTGCATCATTTACAACCCATGCTTCACACCCTTATAAGCGTACGTACCACTATACTCTCGTACATACCCTTCTTTGCCTCCATGGATAACGTTCTTTGTCTCCACAAATACCTCAATGCACCACACCTTTTTTCCTTCATCAGTTCTATGGTTTACCTCATCCTTCATAAACCCATCCACTGATAAGTCAACTCCCAAATATCTGAAAACATTCACTTCTTCCATACTAACTCCCTCCAATGTGATATCCAATTTTTTTTATGTAAATCATTTGATACCCTTATCACCTTACTCATATCTATATTCACTTTCAGCTTTCTACCTTTACACACCTTCCCCAACTCATCCACTAACCTTTGCAACTTTTCTTTAGAATCCCCCAAAAGCACAGTATCACCAGCAAAAAGTAAATGTAGTTATACAATTTTTTTTTTTTTTAGACCGGCGTGGTGTAATGGTTAGAGCACCAGTCTTGTAATTGTAGAGCCAATCATGGCTTCGAATTCTGTTCCCACTGAAAATTGTTTATGAAGGCTGTTAATTTAACAAGACACTGATTATAATTCTGAAGGGACTCTAGTTAAATGCTGCCACAGATATGTTGGTGTGAGAATTATCTGTATACACCTGCACTGGTCATAATGGGGCCCATTCTAACCTCCTTTTTGTATGGAAATACACCTAGTTGCGTTAATCATATTAGACCAGCATGATGTAGCAGTCAGAGAACCCAGCCTGATAATTTTAGGACTGGTTTGCCATGGCTTCAAATTACATAGGTTTAAATCCTGTCTGTTCCATGAGTTAACAATTACTGTATTATCTGATTAATACATGACAGCACACTTTACATATTTAATATATAAATCAACTGAATAAACATTCTGTACATATACACGTATATATAAACATATATTTAAAACAAACTTAATTTTTACATCTCACAAGGTCATTTTAACCTTTTGAATAAACTATCACAGACACAACAAAAAACATAACAAATATGAGAATACAAACATTTTGCTGCAGCATATCTCTACTGCAATACAGTATAGTACTGTATTAAATTTAATAATACATTACTGTGAAAAAGATTAGAAAATCCTGATAGGAGTAATACACAAGGCTATACCGTATGTTCTTTATACAGTAAGAGCAGTTTTCACAAAGTTCTGAGAGAAACATTCACATTAGTGTAATAGTCTACAGGAAGATATTAATAAATCTGCAAAGTTGTAAATAGTATGAGATACCAGTAATATGAGATAAACCATGCAGCATTACATATAACAACCAGATAAACCTGCAAATGAATACATAAAAGGAGAAATTGGTAACATGTGCTTATTGCATTTAAAAATAGACTGAGTTATTCTCCTTTCTACACTATTTCTCCTTTGTGGTAGTGTATCCACAGTATCCACCAGCCTGGTGGTCTTGTCCATCACACCCTGTATTCAGGCAGTAGTCACGTGTCAGAGTGATAAGACTTGTATGTATGGGAGCGGCGCTTGTGTCCCAGAGTGCAGAATAACAGCATTGATGCGATCATCCCGAAGAGCTGCAAGGCAAAATAAAATACGTGTACAAAGAGCAAATCTCCGTATTTCACTTCGACTGAAAGTACCTCATTGCCAAGATTTAGCTTTACTTTGTGTGTATTATTTAGTTAATCTTCCTCTTGGAAAATATAGATTTTATTAATTTTATTTTATTTTAAAAAATTTATTTTAAAATTTGAACAAATATACTTTGAAGTAGAGGTACATATAAGTAGACAATATTATGCATTAGATAAATAAAGTTATAGTAATGTAAAGTATTCAATGTTCTGGTCTGTCCTGCATCATTTTCACCTTGCAACTTAATAACAGTTCAGGACAGACCAAAATGTTTCCTAAAATCTCTTCTCCAAACTGTGAGTTAGTTGTGAGTTGTTCCAGCCATTGTATTTCGGCTTTTGTTCTTCTTAAATTATTATTATACAGTAGTCCCTTGTATCCACAGGGGATACATTCCAAGACCTACCATGGATACCTAAAACCATGGATAGTAGCAAACCCTATATGTGCATATAAGTAGTTTTTTGTTTACATACATACCTATAATAAAGTTTAATTGATAAATTATTTGCACTAAGTTATGAATTAGCACTTTTTCACTGATGGGAAGTACCTCACAGCTTCTCTTAGGCTTTGAAGAACTTCCAGCCTCATTGTTTTTGCACTTTGATCTTTTGTTAAGAAAATTAAGGGTTATTTTCGGGCCACTAAACTGTGAATAACTGAAACTTTTGAAACTGAATCCACGGATACGAGGGTTCTGCTGTAATCATAACTAAGCGCTAAACTCACAAGGGTTATACAGCGCTGTGTTCTTTTTAATGAGAGACTGTGAACAAGATATGGATAAAGGATCCTCATTTCACAGTTTTCAGCTGTGGGAGAAGGTACTGTCTTGCATCTGCACACCTGTTCAACCAGACTACCTTTACCTTTGAAGAATTTCAAGAGCATACCTACTCTCTGAGCCCGGCCATGGGCCAGGCTCGTCTGGTGCTTGCCTGGTCAACCAGGCTGTTGCTGCTGGAGGCCCGCTGCCCCACATATCCATGACAGCCTGGTTGATCTGGCACCTGGTGAAGATACTTGTCTAGTTTCCTCCTGAAGGCTTCAACACTTGTTTCAGCAGTGTTTCTGATATCTTCTGGTAAGATGTTGAAAAGTCTTGGACCCCGGATGTTGATATAGTGTTCCCTTATTGTCCCCACCACACCCCTGCTCTTCACTGGGTTTATTTTACACTTCCTCCCATATCTCTCACTCCAGTATGTTGTTATGACAGTGTGCAGATTTGGGACCAAGCCCTCGAGACCTGGCCATTTCACAGAGTGGACCCAACTCCACTCTGATATTATGTTAAATGTCCAAATTCTTTGACTTATTGTCCTATTTATCAGGGAGAGCATTGACTTTTCTACCTCTTCTATGCTCTATATTTTAACCTTGTCTGTCCTCCTCCCTGAAGGTCGCACTTCAATGCGGATTTTAGTGTTTTAACTGAAACTGACTGACTGCACTAGTTACAAAGTCCTTTAACTCAAGTACCTGTCATCAACCTTTTGTCTCGTTACCTCTAGCATTAGCCAAACATTCACTATACACACGAGTGATCTACATATGTTTACCATTTTTCCTGAATAAAATAATGGGGAAAATTAAGAGAAAATATGACATTCGTAAACATACCTGCACAAATGCAAATACCAGACCAATAATGCCAACAATATGTAGTCTTTCAATAAACCACATCTTCACTTGCATGAAGCATCCAGCATTATACCAGTGATCTCTCTCTCCAGTTTTCCCACAATCTGTTTAAAAAATTGTAAATTAGTTGCAGTATATAGCACAATACTTTTCAAGAAAATTATAAACAGTCAAACCACAGAATTTACAAGCTTTATCATTCACGTGATTCAATTATGTATATATTTTTAATGAATGGCATCTCGTGGACCGCCCGATGTAACGTGGCCCACAAGGCAGGTGCTGTGATTCCTGGATTTTGCTTCCCTTCTTTAGATCAAACCTAAGTGCCTCCCCCATTTCCCAGGTGCTATATGACCCCTAGGGGTCTAGCACTTCCCTGATTACATAAATGACGTAAATTTGACAACTCATTTTGTAGTTTCTTATTTTAGCCCTTATATTGAAAGAGATCAACAGCAAAATAAAGAGTCAAACCACCCATGAGATTTTTCAGAAAATATTCAGTGTTTATGTAAAATGTAAAATAAGAAAAATTTAAAAAATTCAAGACATGCAAAATTTCATGAAATTTGCAACTTTAGATTTATGAGGACTCTAGAAAGATATTTACAGTTTAGAAATAATTATAAATATTTCAATATAACCCATGCCATAAAGGTAAAACAAAGTGGAATACAATGTCACACAATTTAAGGCTGTATTCTTAGAGCACATGATCAACTTTGATGACTTAATATGATTACCTATTATTGGTTACAACAACAAAGCAATACTTATGGTGTAGTTTTCATAATTATTATTATTATTACTATTATTATTATTACAATATAGTTACATTTTTCCTATTTCAACTTTTAACCTAGGATGCAACCCACAAGTGAGCTAACACCCAGATACCTATTTACTATTCAGTGAACAGATGTAATGAGATTTAAGCATTGCCTTGCCCTGGGATCAAATCCAAGATCTTTCTGTGGAAGGGAAATTAGGCATAAATTTATGTGATAAATCCCTCAATGCAGCAACATACAAAAACTTCAGAGAAGGAGCCTGAAAGGTATCGTAATCTAGTGACAAATGGAAATGGAATACAGGTCACATTCTGCCTAAGGGCAGGGGCAGATCTGCTATGGAACTAATGAGGCTTAAGCTTCAGGATCCCTAATCCTGGAGGGGCCTCAGAAGTAACTTTAGCCCACAATGGTTTTGGATCTACTGTATGAAAAGGGATTGTGAAGGAGCACCCATAACAGTTAAAGCTTCAGGGCCCCAAGAATGTAGGTCTGCCACTGCCTAAGGGTAATAATAATACAAACCAGGGCTGTTCATATATTTTGTGAGACAGCAAGTCCGTGGGACCCATTCTTCATGAGGCCAGGCAGTGATTTTGAACCAGTCATCTGGTCCTTCCACTCCACAGCACTGAAAGGATGCATTGTTAAGATTAAAACATGTTTTGCTAGGCATGTTTTTCACTATGCATTCTTAAAATCAATGTTATTCAACAAACTTTTTTATGAAACTTAATTTAAATAAGCTCTGAATAAAGACAAGAAAGGCTAATAACTATTTGAAATAAGGTGTAATAAAAACGAATTAACAAGAGATAAATCTTTGTCACACACACTTGTGTATCATATTGCAAGTTAACAAGTCTCGCATGTGTAATTAGTTTTATAGTTAATTAGATATGCAGAGGCTTACTATATAATGAGACCTGCTCACAGACCGGGCTGCGGGGGCGTTGATCCCCAAAACCTTCTCCAGGTATTGTGGCTTAGCGCTTCTTTTTGATTATAATACCCCTCAAGGAAGGTTCCTTGATGTTGGTGAGGGGCTCTTGATTTAGGGAATTGGATCTGTGCTCCAGTTCCCCGAATTAAGCCTGAATGCCTTCCACATCCCCCCCCCCCCGCAGGCGCTGTATAATCCTCCAGGTTTAGCGCTTCCCCCTTGATTATAATAATAATAATAATTGATTATAATAATAATAATTCTCCAGGTATGTCTTGGTATCTCCTGGTATCTCCAGGTATCTCCTGGTATCTCCAGGTATCTCCAGGTATCTCCTGATATCTCCTGGTACCTCCAGGTATCTCCTGGTATCTCCAGGTATCTCCTGGTATCTCCAGGTATCTCCTGGAATCTCCAGGTATCTCCAGGTATCTCCTGATATCTCCAGGTATCTCCTGATATCTCCTGGTACCTCCAGGTATCTTCTGGTATCTCCAGGTATCTCCTGGTATCTCCTGGAATCTCCTGGTATCTCCTGGTATCTCCTGGTATCTCCAGGTATCTCCTGGTATCTCCTGGTATCTCCAGGTATCTCCTGGAATCTCCAGGTATCTCCTGGTATCTCCAGGTATCTCCTGGTATCTCCAGGTATCTCCAGGTATCTCCTGGTATCTCCAAGTATCTCTTGGTATCTCCCGATATCTCCCGGTATCTCCTGGTATCTCCAGGTATCTCCTGGTACCTCCAGGTATCTCCTGGTATCTCCAGGTATCTCCTGGTACCTCCAGGTATCTCCTGGTATCTCCAGGTATCTCCAGGTATCTCCTGGTATCTCCAGGTATTTCCTGGTATCTCCAGGTATCTCCTGGTATAGCTGAGTGATAAAGTAAGAAGCTGAAATGTACATAACTATACACCATTCTTAGGAGGTGCACCTCGATACCAATGAAGGGCTCTTGATTCAGGGAATCAGAGTCATCTTCCTCTTCCTTGGATCAAACCTGATTGCCTGCAATTCACCAGCCACTGCATGACCCATATGGGTTGAATGTTTCACAGTCTACTCAGAGGGTAGGTAATACGTTAATATTAATAAAACTCACTATATATTTAATAAAAATTACTAAAGTTATGTTGTAATAATGACCAGCACTGAAAATAGGTGGGGCAAATAATTTTGTTAGTGGGTTTGGGTTTGAGAAAGACCTGCCTAGTATCGGCTAATAGGCCTGCTGCAGTGTTTCTCCTTTGTTATGTTCATCATTGTAAAACAACCAATGGGGAAAATTAACAGACTATGAAAAGCAAAAAAAAATATATATATTTCATTCAATCATGTCCTATACAGGATAACACCAGTGTACGCACGCACGCACGCACGCACGCACGCACACGTGGGTAGACCACTTGCGACTTAAAACTAACAGCGAATGAATTACGTGAAACTGTGTTTGCAGGTGGTTCCAGGTGAGTGCCACAGCATCCTCAGCAGTGTCATTGAAGGAGCGACGGATGCCAGCCTGCAGCTCACCCACCAGGGTGGCTGACACCTCACCCCTGAAGACAAATGCCAGAGTGCCAGCAACCAGTTGTAAGGTGAACACCACCACCACCAGACTGAAATACTGAAAACAACATAAACTTAATAATGTGCTGCTGTAATGCTTAGCATAAAAAAATAAGTTATGCAACATCACTCACAGGGAAGTGCACCAGTAGTCCATGCATTTAGATCACTTCCCTCAAATATAATAATTATAATAATAATGTAATAATAATTAGGTTAAAGTGGTATGTTAATACTGTAATATAAAGGAAAAAACTCATGCATATATTAGAAATTTTATTTTTGTGGAAAATTTTGGATTTTTCTAAATTCAGCATGTGTAAATTTGAATACTACAATAATTGTGTAATAAAAAGTGATGCTGATTTGACCCTTTCGATAAATTTTGAGTGAGGAGGGGTGTAGAACAGCTGCTAATGGACGCCAGGGAGGGGACGCCATGTTGAATTTAATGTGTGAACACTGGACCGAAATCCGCTAATAATCTGGCGTCTTCTGAGGCTAATTTGGGGTGTTTTGGCCTGAATTTATGATTAGGAGCCCATGTTAATGTCCCCTGCTGAAGAATTGGGACAGAAAATTTGTGGGACTCAAGAATTACATGTGGATAGCAAAAAAATATGGGATGCAACATCACTCACAGGGAAGTGCACCAGTAGTCCTTGCATTTAGATCACTAGCTGGCCAGTGTGGGGTCTAGGTGTTAGGCAGGTGTTGTGGTGTGATCCATATACAGTATTTAAATGGTAAGTGTAATTGTGAATATTATATGTACCCAGCAAGTAAATCAAAATAACATACAGTCCACATAACCTTAATTACCATACTAGCTTATTTTAATATTATAATTATTGATTTAATGTGAGGTCTAGCTTTTTATGAGAGTAGTGAGGAAGTGGGCAGTCGAAGGAGTGCCAGTTCAGCGACCTACTGTGGCTAAGTCCCACTTACCTCGCCCAAATTACTTGCAGGTGATAATTCAGGTAATACCCTGCCAATGTCCTTCAGGTGATTTACTTACATAATAATAATAATAATAATAATTTTCAAAAATTTTAATCATGGAGGAAGCACTAAACTGATATGGGTCATGTAATTTCTAAGGAAAAGGAAGCATTCAGGTTCGATCCAACGAAAGGAAGGGGAAAATCCAATTCCATGGATCAAGAACCACTCACCAACATCAAGAGACATCCCTTGACGGGAGATTGAAACATTTAGCCATTATTACGTTCACGGGGAGCGTTAAACCTGCAGGGGACATACATCAGCTGGGAAATTGGGAGGCATTCAGGTTCTACCCAAGGGGAGAACAGGGCCAATTCCTCTGATCAAGAACCCCTCACAGGCAGAGAAGTTACTCGTGATACATACCAAGTCTCCACAAATTTTTTAAGCTTCAAGACTTATGTAAATTCTCTTTTATTAACTGGGTCGTGCAATGGACATATTATATTTAGGGCCTATGGTCCCAGATTAAGAATTAATTTCCAAGGCATGGTAGATTAAGTTCAGGTTGGGGTATACTTTTCTTTTTATTCCGAAAATACACCTATTTCAGGTTAGGTAAGGCTCGTCAAGAAACAGGACAAGTGTTTCCTGACGCGGGTCTTAATTATATGACGACCCACAGCTGGAGCTGTTGGTCACCTAACTGAGGCCTTCCACTGGCTTACCCCCTCCACCCCTGTAAACATTATGGTTATAATTATAAATACCTATTACAACTGCACAACTTAACTAACATTAGTGAATTTACATACAAAAAAAAAAAACACAGAAGAACTTAAACTCAACTTCAGCCCAGGTTAAAAAATGTACCTCATGCTAGTGACTCTTTTGTGATTAACAATATTTTAATACACATGTAAACTACATGTTGTACACTGCAGAACAGAAATAAAGTTATATTGTACAATGTGAAGGTGTAGCTCACAGTGACGAGCATACAGCCGCTCTGGAACCAGGAGCCACAGCAGCCACAGAAGGCCAGGACGAAGGTGATAACACCAGCTGCGAGACACAGTGAGTCTGCAGACACAGCAGAGTACTGGTGTAACAGAGAGGCATACCCACCATAGGCCAGTCGTAGCCAGATGCCTGCACCCAGCATGGAACAACCAACAACCTGAAAGAGAATTAAAATGCCTTATAGTATAGGCAAAATAACCACAGTGGGGAAAAAACAGTGAAATTCCCAGAACTTTTACAGTTTCTCACATCACGATATCGCTAGGAATTTCACTATTTTTTCAGTGGTTATTTTGCATATTGCTTAGTTTTGATTATAATAATAATAATATTTTGCATATCATGATATCACTTGTTTACTGTGATCTTAAGTTTACTTAGGCACAGGTACACACAAGTACAATTATCATACATTCTGTAAATTACCTAGGAAAGCCCCCTCAAAAAGTCACAGTGTCTTATTTCCAGTATATATGTATGTATGAGAGAGAGAGAGAGAGAGAGAGAGAGAGAGAGAGAGAGAGATTGATATATTGGGTGGGTGAGTGACAGGGGGATGATGATGATATGAAATGTCATAGAGGTTACCGTGGGATTCATCAAGTGGACACCACAGTGAGAAGGTCACAGTGTGGTTGAGAGAATAACTTAGCGAGAGATTATACCTCTCTGTGGAGGTCAGTGGCCCCTCTGAGGTGGTGTGGAACATGTTCACGAGGTCAACACCCACACATCATTCATGGTCAGGCGCTGTACCCGGTAGGAGTCGTGGAACGTCACTGACCAGCCACTGACCAGGTGGACCCTTGTGAAGGAGAGGTGATGATCCTGTTAAAGAGGTACTGACTACACAGGCCACAAGAGTACTGGCCACAAGTCACAAGAGTACTGACCACACAGGTCACAAGAGTACTGACCACATAAGTCACAAGAGTACTGACCACACAAGTCACAAGAGTACTTTAGTACCCGGTTTAGGTTGCAAGTACTGTTTACTAGTGATGAACAGGTAACATGCAGCCTTGAAACTCGTGTAGTAGACACGATGACGATGACACATACGGTTTTAGCGTTCTTCATACATAAAGATAATAGTCCAGTGACAAAAACTTTATCAGGAATTTAACCGAGTCACAAAATTTAAAAAAAAAAAATGGTCGTGAAGACATTTGAGGACACTAGAAGGACATCACAAGGAAAGAGAGAGGAAAACAGGTTGTGGGTGTCATGGAGTGTGTAAGGTTGAGTGCGTTGTGAGTGCATGTTGTAAATTGCTTGAGATTAACGAGCGCGTTGAACTTCCTGTCAGCTTCTGTTATTTCTTGTTATTTCTACAAGTACATGTACCACGTATACAGACCATAGCTGGCATCAGTGACATACTATATAGAAAGCCCCTTGTTATGCAAAGCATTTCGGGTAAATTAGGTTAATTTTGTCCACAGGATGTGACCCACACCAGTCGACTAACACCCAGGTACCTATTTTACCGCTAGGTGAACACAGACAGCAGGTGTCTCAAGGAAACACGCCCCAGTGTTTCCACCCATACCTACCCTCACGAATGTACAATTTTCCCCACAACTTGTACTTACCCACATGAAGGTGTTGAGGACACAGAGTGTGTGTCTGACACAGGTGTATCCCGTCCGACCCCCCATCCTGTAGAAAAAGGTAAACACAATCCAATTAATGCATAAAATATAACAGTCTCTTTCAACAAATGTTTATTTATCATTGTTGATTGTGATTAATAGTCCAATTAATAATCGGGAAATGTTAAAAGAAGAATCATTTATAGGCGGATCATTCACGGCTATTATTAAGCTGTGTCGAGTTTAACACTAAACATCCAGTAATACTGTGAGATGTAACATGCCGTTAAACGTCAACAATGATTAGCAAATCAATAAGCGTTTTACGTGAACTATTCACTAGCAGTACCTCACACAGTGTCACTCACTGAATGTTTCTCGGTTAATGAGCTTCACATAACGTTCCTCACTGAGTGATCCCCACAGTGTTACTCAGTGAATGTTCCTCATACTGTCACTCACTGAGTTAGCAATGTAACTGTGTGTAGCTTAAAAAAAAAAGGGTCAGACAATGGTGTAAGAGGTAGAGTGGTTCCCGCACACCCTGGCTACATCTTCCATCAAGATGAACATATAAGGGAACACAGGAAACGCCTACCACCGGGGAGATGCTTTACCTGTGTGTAGCACCTGCACGAACTATACCCTTCAGTGGGCTGGTACCTTGATACCGGTGAAGGGCTCTTGATTCGATGAATGTGGCTACTTCACCTTTTTCCCTTCCATTAACCAGAAGGTCACATGCAGGAGTTCTACTCACAAATATCGGCAGTGAAGGTAGAACCACCAGGAGACTGGATGCGGTAGTGTTTGTGAAGGTTACACGGCCTAGATAATAGCTATCACCCTGCCACCCCTGTCATCCTCTGCCCTGCCACCCCTGCCTTCCCCTCCCCTGCCACCCCTGCCTTCCCCTCCCCTGATACACCTGATGGCATTCCTGTGATATATTTCTTTTCATGAATAACTGAATCATAAATCCTCTTCAAACCAGACATGTTGTATGCGCATGTTGGAGCATATACATCTATCTTGTACAGTGATGATGAACGTCTATCACGTACATCTATCATGCACGTCTATCATGTACGTCCATTATGAACGTCTGTCATGCACATCTAGCATCATGTACGTTTAAACGCACATGATACATCTATTCATGATTTATTAAAACGTTCATGTGATCAAAGCTTACACAAGATTGCTCTAAAACGTTCAAACGTTTATTCACAACTTTCAAATGTGAATTTAAATCGCTCATACGATTGTGTAAATCCTTCGCACCATTATCAAATTTATTGACTGCTGACACAATGCTGGTTGATGGTACTGACGTACTGACTGCTTACACAATGCTGGTTAATGGTATTGCTACACATCCCGTACCCAGGGTATGGACAGTAGTCACCCCATACCCAGCCCGTGGCTGGAATTCAGAGTATTTCAGCGATACATAATGGTTTCATGGGCGGGCCCTTCCCCATGATTACAAATAAGACCACGTACTTATGCAAATGGGCACAGCAAGTCCGCTCTTATTCAAACAAGGAGGAGGAGTATTGCGTGCGAAAATCTTCGTAAATCCAAGAGGAGGATAGACTTTAACTCCCTCAGGATTAGCCACAATACGCCTCAGACCAGATAGTTGGTGGATTTTTTTTTGGGGGGGAGGGGGAGGGGAGGGGAGGAAAGACGTGTCCTGACGCTTAGTGACGTGCTGGCCCGCCCCGTCTTCACAACAAACGGAAAAAAAAAGAATGTTGAATTTAACGCTGTTTTGGTTCGCCGAGAGAGGCAGAAGAACCGCTTCAGAAAACACTGATCCTGTTTCCTGACAAACCTTACCTACCTAACCTGCCTATGTTTGAGAGTCTTCAAGACGACGATGATAAACGCCTTCATATTGGCTGAGGGCAGGTTGTACCAGAGGCGAGGCAGTGTTGGTGGTCATGCAGGTTAGTTATAACAACGACAGTTGCCGCCCGTATAGGGAGACAACACACAGGACGATTTGCGATAAGAAGGGAGGGAGGATAAGGACAGGGGTAGGGAGGGGAAGAAAGAGAAGTGATGGAAGGAAGGGAAGGAGGAAGAGAATGGAGGGAAGAGAACGGAAGAGAGTGGAAGTCAGCAGGGTAAGGTAGGGGAACCCCTTACGCGATATCAACTTCTGTTACATAACCAGGACAATGGGAGCGAGTTTTTGTAAACTAAAATGAATTACTGGCGGGGATTTTTTTACGAAAGAAAACCTCAAGCGATACAACCTGCAATGTGTTGCTACTCTATATTATAGTTACACTGTGGAAATACCTATAGTGTACCTCCACTCTATATCAGGGTGGGAACAACTGCAGTGTGCTACTGCTCTATTATATATGATAGTTACACAGTAGGAACAAAAGCTAGCTACCGTTCTCTGTCATATTCATTACAGAAAAGTTTTCGTACATCAGGTAATGAAATCTGTCAGCCAGGGGTGGAGGGAAGAGGCAGGAGGTTGAAGGGGATAGAGAACATCAATGATGACCTGCTTACATGCCCTTACATCAGCGGCCAAAGTAACGGGCGTGACAACGGGCGTACTGTTGTCAGTGGGCCACTGACAACAGTAAGGTGTTTAATGAGGACAAATTTCACTGAATAATGGAGGCAATAAAAACGGGATCAGAGTACAAGACAAACTCAAACCACTCAACAGAACGCAAGTCAAATGTGAGAGACCTGGGAGTGATAATGTCAGAAGATCACGTTCAAGAAACAACAGTGTTATTATCACAACTGCAAGAAAAATCATAGATTGGATAACTAAAACCCTCAAACCAAGAGGTATTAAGCCAATAATGATATTCTTCGGGTCACTCGTTCTCTCTGGGCTGGAGTATTGCTGTGTACTAACAGTCCCCATCAAGGCAGGCGAAATTGCTGAGCTGGAAAATGCACAGAGAACCTTCACAGCTCATATAAACTCAGTCAAGCACTTAAATTACTGAGTGTTTGAAGTCCCTAAAACTGTGCTTATTAAAACGTAGGTGAGAGAGAGTTTAACATCTTTATAATGCACCCCATACCCACGGTGTGGGCGGTTACCTGGAGGTTATTCCGGGGATCAACGCCCCCGCGGCCCGGTCCATGACCAGGCCTCCCGATGGATCAGGGCCTGATCAACTAGGCTGTTACTGCTGGCCGCACGCAGTCCAACGTACGAGCCACAGCCCGGCTGATCCGGCACTGACTTTAGGTATCTGTCCAGCTCTCTCTTGAAGGCAGCCAGGGGTTTATTGGCAATTCCCCTAATGCTTGATGGGAGGCTGTTAAACAGTTTTGGGCCCCGGACACTTATGGTGTTTTCCCTTAGTGTACCAATGGCGCCCCTACTTTTTATTGGGGGCATTTTGCATCGCCTGCCCAGTCTTTTACTTTCGTAGGGAGTGATTTCTGTGTGCAGATTTGGGACCATTCCTTCCAGGATTTTCCAAGTGTAGATTATGATATATCTCTCCCTCCTGCGTTCCAACGAGTACAAGTCAAGTGCTTCCAAGCGTTCCCAGTAGTTAAGGTGCTTGACAGAACTTATACGTGCAGTAAAGAATCTCTGTACAAAAGATTACAGAGGTACATAATGAGTCCAGGGACTGGCCCGCAAAATTTTGTGAGAGAGATTCATCATAATTTACACCTGGAAGGTAATGGGGGGATTAGTCCTAAACCTGCTCTCTGAAATTACTATTTGTAAACACAAGAGGCTTGGCAGACGGTGCAGGATACCTTGAATGAACAGCAGCGGAGCGATGAGTACACTGAGAAAGGACTCAGTAAGTGGTAAGGTAATCACGACCCACCAAGAACCTCCCTGCACGCATAAGAGGGATCACCAGCAAACTCATAGTTATCTTCAAGCGGGAACTCGACAGATTTCCCAAGACAGTTCCTGATCATCCGGGTTGTCAAACATGCGTTGGACTGCGGGCGGTTGGCACTAACAGCTAGATCTATCAGGCAAACAACCAGGAAGCCTGGTCTGGGACCGGGTCGCGGGGCGGTGACCTGGAAGCGACTCCGGGTAAACGAGTGTGGGGCAACGAGCGTGGGACAACGAGTGTGGGACAACGAGCGTGGAACAACGAGTGTGGGACAACGAGCGTGGAACAACGAGTGTGGGACAACGAGCGTGGAACAACGAGTGTGGGACAACGAGCGTGGAACAACGAGTGTGGGACAACGAGCGTGGAACAACGAGTGTGGGACAACGAGCGTGGAACAACGAGTGTGGGACAACGAGCGTGGAACAACGAGTGTGGGACAACGAGCGTGGAACAACGAGTGTGGGACAACGAGCGTGGAACAACGAGTGTGGGACAACGAGCGTGGAACAACGAGTGTGGGACAACGAGCGTGGAACAACGAGTGTGGGACAACGAGCGTGGAACAACGAGTGTGGGACAACGAGCGTGGAACAACAGGGAATGTGTTGACCGGTTGGAAAGTTGCCACACCCGACCAACCACTAGCCAGATGGGATATTTATAATCAATCTCTATCTTTCTTAGCGTTTTTTTATCACCTTGTGTCTTAATGTATTTTCTTTCACAAGTACACCTTACACTGCTGTAGTTTAATAATTATAACGATCATTGTTCAATGATCACAATGGAAATAAGTCTCTTCGTCTGACTTTTTTGGGTTTATCCTGGGTAATTTACACCATGTAAGGTAAGTGAGTTAGTTTAATATGTTTATTATGCACCCCATACCCATCCTGTGGGCGGTAGTCAAAAGATTACAGAGGTACATAATTGGTCCAGGGACTGGACTCCAAAGTTTTGATAGCTGAGCAAGTTACAGAGGTAATGAACTCACAATTTACAAAGGTAATGAACTTACAATTTACAAAGGTAATGAACTCACAATTTACAAAGGTAATGAACTCACAATTTACAAAGGTAATGAACTCACAATTTACAAAGGTAATGAACTCACAATTTACAAAGGTAATGAACTCCAGGTAGGTCTGGTCACAATAATGACAAGTTACAAAGGTATTTACAGATTACAGAGGTAATGGGT